AGGAGAAGCAGGTTGAGAAAGAGCTTGTTCGTGGGCTGAGTCTTCTTGCACGAATTGGGCTCAGGGTGGGCTGTTCTTTGAAGAAAATGGAATTGGATGAAGAAAATGGTGGGTTTAATGAGTTGGCAGGTGGGCTTTTAAGAGAATAGAGTCCAAAAGAAATTAGCAAGACATCAAGGCAAGTTTATAGGCTTTCTCCAAGAAAACTTTTTGAAAGCCTTGATGAGTTGGTTATTATGGATAAGTTCTTGTACCAAGAAGTATCTCTGGATTCCTTAATCTCATGGAGGGTTATGCAAAGGGAAGAGGAGTTACCGAAAATGAGATTTCTCGAGGAAGGAAGGATTGGGTCCTCTATCATGGAATCAATAAATTTGGGTCAACTCGAGAAGGCCATAGAAGAAATTCAAGTCAAGTAGTTGAGCATGATTGGAAGAAACGGAAGCGTCGGAAATGGAGAATCCACGACGCGATTTGCACGAGCCACGTGGAGAAGTGGATCAAATTGGTCAACCTTGAGGACAAGGTTGGTCTCAAGGGGGAGGAGGTGATAGAAACCCAATTCTCGGGTTTTATCATAATTATCATTAATAGAAATTATTAGGATTTATTTAGATATAGTTAGTAGTCTTTGAGTCATATTAGGATAGTCTATTAGGTTTTTCCAGTCTTTCGCTATAAATATGTATTCTGTCTCTTTTATTCAATTAAGCAGAAATCAATAGAAGAACTATCTTCCCAAACCCTAAGTTCTCTCTATCTCCTAATTTCTCCTCTTCCCAAATCCAAGGCTTCAGCCGACTCTTATTATTTTCTTCTTTCCCCCAAGTCCTCAATCTCAATCTTCAATCTATCCCTAAATCCCTAAATTTCCAATCAACCAACACTATCGATAGAACCCTAGAAATATGTTTCTATTATGTTATAGAGAAACATGGCAATTAAGTATTAGATCAAGTTTGAGTATAAGGGAGACCAAGTAAGCAAGGAAATGAGTTATCTTCGGTTAACTGGATGTTAGCGTCCTTATTTAGTTATATAACGTAGCTAAATGTTTATTTATGTATTGGTGTTAAATCTTGGCAAATTGAGTTAATTTTTTATACTTGTGAATTAGTTATATAATTTAGTTCTTTGGATCTCTGTTTCAGTTGGGGCACACATTATTAGGGGTGAAGTGCTTGCAGTTGATGCAACAATTACCATATAGTGGGTTAGGCTTTACCATCCCGCTTCCACTAGTAGTCGAATCCTTACAAAGCGCGAATTCTATGAGGTCGCTCTTCACCTTGTTCCAGAACTCGTCATCATTGACTTTCTGCATAAACCATCTTGACGACTCTCTCATGTATTCATTGTGCATAGCAGGTTCCTGATATCATGTGTAGGAGTACCAGTAGTGACGACATTGAAGAAGATCAGGAAGCCAATGCTGGCCAGAAGTAGAGTGGGCATGAAATACAAGTAGGTTTTGAGGAGCCTCCTACGTCATAAGCATGAAGCAGTCACGATGCCTAAAAGGAGAGTAATTGTAATGGAAATGGTGTAACAGGTGAAACATAGCATGAATCCGATAGCTTGTTACAAAGTAGTGTGAATTGTCAAGAAAAAACAAATTAAGCTATGAACATTGGGATTGAACCTATTACATTAATAATAAAAAGCATCATGAATAGCCAAGGGGAGCAGTATGAGGTGGGTTCGATGATCGTGAACGAACACGAGATGTCGAATTGCTTGAGTTGGACATCTTTTTTATAGAGAGATGTTATGGAAAATGTGGGCAACTAAGTAATATATCAAGTTTAAGTATAAGTATAAGGGAGATCGAGTAATCAAGAAAATGAGTTCTCTTTGGTTGACTGGATGCTAGTTCACTTCATCAACTATTTCCATGAATCACAACAACTAATCTACTAAATAAAAGAATATATGCAACGAATATGCGAGATGACTAATCTAATTTGTCTCTACAAATGATATATTTGGTGTTTGTTAATTTCATATTTGGTTATATAACTTAGTTATATGTTGATTGTTTATGTATCAGGGTTAAATATGGGTAAATTGAGTTGATTTTTATTTAGTTGTGAATTTAGTTAGTTAATAGTTGATTGTTTATGTATTAGGGTTAAATTTGGGCACATTGAGTTGATTTTTATAGGGCTTGCTGAGGAAGGAGAGTGCCGATGTATTTATAACAAATTTGACTAATTATATCTTTAATTTGGATCTTCTAGTTGTATTGTTTTATAGGACTTCTGAGGAAGGAGAGTGCCAATGTATTTATAAAAATTTTAATAATGCAATAATTTTGATTAATAAAAAATAATATTAATTTTTTCTGACTAATAATTAGTATTTACTCTAATCTACACAATAAATAAAAGTCAAATGAGAAAACTTGAAACTCCATTTCAAATTTCCTGCATCCAGAGTGAAAGTAGGAATGACATTTTGGTCTTCACAATTTTTTTTTATTCATTAAAAATGACACTTACTAGGATTCGAACCATGACCACTTTAAAGAAAAGCAAAGATCATAACCAATCACACTAAGTAGATTTGTTGTAACTTTTTAAATTAAAAACATATAATCGCAGAGAGGAAAAAACCCTTCCCCCATTTCAAATTTCCTGCTCCAGGAGCATTTGTAGGAAGGGTAGAATAGGAAGTGTCAATTTTTTTCTTTTTCCTTTATGAAACGGGCCAACTTACTGTACACATGCGGATTTAAACAGGTCCAAGAGTGTCAATTTTTTTTCTTTAAGTCCTTTTATTTCTCCGTGGTGGTAAAATATATATGAAAAGGCAAAAACAATACTCCTTTTTATTGCTAAAAAGAAAAAAAATTAACAATAAACTAATGCATGGATTCTAATGGGCTAACCGCTAATCATAAAATAAAAGAGTTGAATGAGCCTGACCTACACGGGATTTGCCCATCAAGTAAAACAAATGAACATCATGGTTTTGCCATTCTAAAACAAGCTATTTTCTCTAGCATAATATATATTATGCTATTATTTTATATCTTAGTGGCTAAAATATAATGTATTTTAAAATTATTCAATGGTTCAACCTCGACCAACCCAATTAGTTCAATTTTTATCATTTCAAATATATATTATGTAATTATTTGATATCATAATTATAGTGTATATTATAGGAAATCCTTTGGTATTTGTTAGTAAAAAACTAAACAGAAAGATCTTTTTGGTTATTTTTAACATTAAAACGATCCTAAACATTTTCAGTTTCCTTTCGAAATTCTATAGTTTATTCCCGAATCAGTGATGTGCAAGTGGTGAATTGCAGTCATCTCTTTTCTTTCATTATTTTTTATCTAAAGAATATAATAAGAGTTTTCTCATTTAAGCCTTCACGATTTTGAATTCCCTATCTTCTCATGCGTCCACCTCAGCACATACTAGCAGCCAATCAAATCATTTTAAACAAAAAAGAACCAACCAAGAAAAACAATTCCCCTCCGTGAACTGCCCCGCACCAAAAATCTATACTTTTTTATTTTATTTTACACTTTCCTTTAACCGTCCATTTCCTTTGGCTTTTTTTCCTTTACATTTTTTTTCTTCTTAAATACATTTGTTTATGTCTTTTAAATATCAGTTATGTTTGTTACTATCTAAAAAAATTGATAAAGTACATTCCACATTTCGTTGTATAATTTGACACAACGTTCATAATAATATTAAAAAGTTGAGTTGTATTTCATATGCACTAGCAATTTGTAGTGTTTATTGTTTGGGTATTTATTTTGAGTGTTTGGAAAATTGTCATGTAAATTATACATGGAGATTTTATAAAACGCCATTATTTTGAATTTTTTTTGTACAACTTTATCCCCTCATGATTTAAAATCGCATAATATGATGATAAATATTGAAATTTTGTAACGTAATCATGTTATACATTCAGCCAAGAGTCAGTATCTCTCAATTAACGGTCGAATGTTTCTACTTGAAAATTAACTTATATCGTTCCAATTTCATGGGTGTCCTTAATGGTGGTCGAAATTAATTTTATATGTATGAGTCAACCTCTCAAACCATACACTTTGGTCATAAATAAAGAATACCAAATGTTTTTTTGAAGAATGTATCCAAAAATAGTTTAAGTATGTCAACAAATTATTTAATACAGATGTTATTCATAAGATGTTCAAAAATATGAATAAAATTAATCATCTTTCAAATTGATTAAATATTGAAATGACACTGACCTGGCCAATGGCCGGGATCAAAGCTAGTTTTTAAATAGAAAGTTTATAAGTAAAGAATAATTAGAGTTTGGCATGGGTCGGTCAAACAGGCTGAATTTCAAGTTTTGACCCGTTTTGATCAAGTCTAATTTATAATCACATGGTTCCCTGATACCCGATAAAAATCTCAATCCAAATCAGTTTGGTAGGTGAGTCCGTGTTTACCACCATTTTTCTAGGGATACAGGAACGGTGGTTCCTATCCCAAATCGTATTGTTAATTCTTGATTTCTTTAGATTTTATCATGGCTTGGCAAAAATCCAGAAGGCACAATGATGACAAGATGAAAGTTTTATAAAGCAAATTAATCAGCCAACGGGCCGAGTAAAAGCTAGCAACGATTGTGAGATGCTCATTTCCCGAAAACCGGTGGGATAGACGATATTTTATTCGATTTTCTGGAATTCGGTTTCTATAAAACTTATTCCACCTCATCATATTACCATAAACAATATTGTTTCTCAAGGTAACATGTATTTGATTTTGGTTCATAAGGCTGATTTTTGATTCGTTGCATCATTCATATCTCTTTCCTACTAATTCACTATTTTTATCACGTGTTTCCCACAAAAAACTATACAACAATAAGCTATACAACCCATTACGTTATCAAATTTCATATCTCACGTTCTTCCGGCAAGCAAGCGGCCATGTGGCGGCGTCGTATTAGGTGAGAGGTGTACTGTTGCTATTTTCTTTTTATTTCAAAAAGAGAATCTTCTGCAACTTTTTTCCCTCCTCCCTCACTCTCTCTCTCCCTCACCCCCTTACTCGCTGATCTTTCCCCTTTCCGCCGACCAAAAATCCTGTATTTCTCCTCCGCCAAGCCAATCAATCAATCAATCGGCGGTTCAGTCTTTCCACAAATGCAAGACTTCATCGGATCGGTCAGGCGGTCGCTCGTCTTCCGCCCCGACACAGAGAGCAGCAGCACTACGGCGGAACTCAACAGCGGCGGCAGCCCTCCATTAACGGGGACTCGCCCATTGGTCGACAAGATCAATTCATGCATTCGGAAGTCTAGAATCTTCGCCAAACCTTTGTCTTCCCCTCCGCTTCCAATGGCCCCTCCGATCCGGTACCGGAAAGGAGAGCTGATCGGGTGCGGCGCGTTTGGTCAGGTCTATATGGGCATGAATCTTGATTCCGGAGAGCTTTTGGCTATCAAGCAGGTAAATTTGGACAATTTAAGTTATGGGTTTGGCTCGGATGGGATTTTCATTTCTGGGTACCCTGGGGGGTTCTTGGTGGTTATTGATCCGAAGCTTAGAATGTGGGTTTTGGGTAATATTATCTTTCGTGAATTTGATTGCAATTTTGCACTTCCTACGTTGTTTGCTGGAAACTAACAGCGCAATTTGTGGATGTTTCCTACTTGGGGTTTCAGTTTCCATTGCAGCTTCATAGGGTTTTAAGGGAGTTTTATGCTGCATTGTTAGATTCATTATTAAGTTGCTTGTTATTTGGAATGAGAATAGTCATTTCCCCAAGTTACATATTTGTATATTTTTCAGCTCGATTCTGAACTCTGTTTGTTTCTTTATTTTGTTCAAGGTTCTGATTGCAGCCAATGGTGCTTCCAAGGAGAGAGCGCAGGTAACCTCTTTTATTGGATTCATAGGACCAATAGTGAGGCAGGAGTTTGTTACTGAAACACTATTCGGGTTTTAGGATTGTTGATCGATTGTTTTATGTAGGCTCATGTCAAAGATCTTGAGGAAGAAGTGAAGCTTCTGAAGAATCTTTCACATACCAACATCGTGGTTAGTAGCGAGAAATCATTTCAACTTGGATGTACTTTCATTAACTAAACGCAGTTTTCGACTTAGCGTCTGTCTAAACCTCTATGATCCTCAGAGATACCTCGGCACAGTTAGGGAGGAGGAATCATTGAACATTTTGCTTGAATTTGTTCCTGGTGGATCTATATCCTCACTTTTAGGAAAATTTGGACCTTTTCCTGAAGCGGTAAGTAAGTTTTCTTCACTTCTTCCTTGCCTTAAATTTTACCGGCTCCTGTTAAACTGCCGGCATGCCAGGTTATCAGAACATATACCGAGCAATTGTTGCTGGGATTGGAGTACTTGCACAGTAATGGCATCATGCATAGAGACATTAAGGTGCTTGTTTAACTCACTGACTTTTCCTGCATGCTAGAAAACTCCTTCAACTTTTGTAGGTTATGCTTACAAGTTATAATGTTTGCTGTCCTTTGTTTGTGCTTTTAGGGAGCAAATATCCTTGTAGATAATAAAGGATGCATTAAACTTGCGGATTTTGGTGCATCGAAGCAGGTAGTTGAGCTGGTATGAGTCTTGATCTTCAGAAAGTGGTATTTTGCTTCTTCATGATTCTGCAGAATTTTCCCACACAGAGAGTTCTGCTGTTTCTGTTTCTGATTGAGATGCCGTTTCCTTAGGCCACAATTTCAGGGGCGAAGTCAATGAAGGGTACACCATACTGGATGGCGCCTGAAGTCATTCGTCAGACAGGGCATAGCTTGTATGTTCAAGAAATCAGATCCTTATAAGTGATAATTTTGATTATTCTACTTGGGGAACAAACTCAATGGAATGAAAAATAGAAAGATTGAAATTGAACTAGACAAGAATAGTTATTAGATCCTTTAATCCACCATCTATACTTAATGAATGGTAAGGTTAGTATTACTGTACTGAGCCTCATACGTGGTTGATGCTGTAGTTCTGCTGACATTTGGAGTGTTGGATGTACTGTGATTGAGATGGCAACTGGAAAACCTCCTTGGAGCCAACAATACCAAGAGGTAAATTAATATTCTGCTTTACGAGGATTTTTCTTGAGGGGTACTTCTTCTTTATCTTGCTAACATGTTTCCTGTAGGTTGCCGCCCTCTTTCACATAGGATCAACAAAGTCACATCCAGAAATACCTGAGCATCTCTCAGATGATGCCAAAGATTTTCTGCTCAAGTGCTTGCAAAAGTACCATTTTACTGCTTTTTTACTGGCCTTTTTCTTGATAGTCAGAACTCAGAACGTTAGAAGAGAAAACAAAATATTCCTCTAACGTCTTTCATCTGCTAATTAAACTGTTGGCAGGGAACCTGATATGAGACTAGATGCATCTGAGTTGTTGAAGGTAATTTTTGCTTCCTCTAATTGTTATTTTGAGAATATTGAGTTAATGGTGTTTGTTCACTCCAATATTTTTCGTGTTAGTGCAGCATCCATTTGTTATAGGGGGGCATGGAGTTTCTGATACAGCAACCAGTTTTACTCCACAGTCACAACCCACCCAAATAGACATCAGGTAAGTCAAATTGATTCCATCATTTATACCGGGGGTTTTCTTACTCCTATTATGTTTTCATAATCCTTGTTCTGTTCCCCTCTTGATAGACCATTGCCATCTGTATCTGGCTCTGGAGATCTCTGTAACTTGGGGAGTCTAAACTTTTCTGTAAATCTTCAAAACTCAAGTGAAACTCAACATCTGTGGCGACCAAATGATGGGGACGCTGATATGTGTCAGATCGATAGTAGTTTCAGTATATCAAATCAAAATCCAATGATGACTTCTGGTGAATTTGACAATGTAAGGTTTTCTTGATTCATTCTTCATAAACCTCGTACATTCTATTGGTTAACTGTTAATTGTGATTGGTTCAGGATCAGAATGTCAAGCATGAGTTTGTTGGAGATTTAATGGGAAAATTCGATGAGTGTCTCGAACCAGATGGAGTTCGAATGTGCACTGAAGAACCAGCTCAGTGCAACAGAACCTTGTCATGTGAAATATCATTATCTGAGGATGATGATGAACTCACTGAATCTAAGATCAAAGCTTTTCTAGATGAAAAGGTACCAACTTAAGTGGATAAACATTCCTTAAACTTCATATTGATGTTGGTTTTCGAGAATGACTTGAATGTAAGTTTTAATTTGATATGATGATACGTGCAGGCTTTAGAGCTGAAGAAACTGCAAACGCCTCTTTTTGAAGAATTCTACAACAGCATGATTGCAACTAGCTCCTCAAGTTTTCCTCAGGGCTTGTGCAATGAAACTTCTCCAAATTACTTGAAGTTGCCACCTAAAAGCAAGTCACCTAGTAGAGGAGTTCAGCTGGGGGTCTCCTCCCCTGTAACTGATACCGAAACCCCTGGGAGCACTGGTCGGAGTGCATCAAATGTCGTTGATGCAAATGATGCAACTTCAAGAGCCATTTCTTCTGCACATGCTGATGAACAAAATGTAGTATTCGTAGATACTCAGCCAGAATCTAGTAGCCGATGGTTAGTATTGAATGATAAGTTGCATGTTTAGTATCTGCAAGATGTAGTTTCTTGATACTCGCACGTGTTGATTAGTATCTGTCTTTTGTTGGGAAATCTGAAATTTGAGTTTATGCTACCTTTTCTTCAGCGTTGAGGTTTCTGAGAGACAGAGGAAATGGAAGGAAGAGCTTGTTGAGGAGCTCGAGAGGAAGAGAGGTATGGGGGACTGTCTTCCTTTTGCTTACTATAACTGGTTGCTAACTTCATATTCATTAATGTAGGGTTGAAAACCAAAACTAAATTTCATTGGGTTGGGAGAACCAAATTTCGGGTGACAGAACTGAATATGAAATATTGGTTTTACATTCAGCTCACTAATGCTCCCCTCTGTTTTTTGCAGAGATGATGAGACAGGCAGGGATTGCAGCCAAAACTTCCTCATCACCAAAGGATCGAGCACTGAACAGGCAAAGGGAAAAGACTAGATTCGCGTCATCTCCAGGGAAGTAAAGTCTCAAACTTCTACTACTGATGATAAATGTTCTTCTTCCCCAAAGTTTTGATGGACAAGAAGAGATAAATTCTCTGTGAAGAGTTTTTGTCTGGCACCCTTGTGAATATATCTCTTTTGAATACTACCTGGTTTCTCCAAAGCTTTGCCACACATGAGAGGAGATTAGTTTGTTAATAGAAATGTGTTCTTTCGATTCCGACCCTCTTGCTGGTTTGTAACCAATTTTGCATGAGAATGTGTTGTAGTGAATCAAGTTAACGAGCTTCTGGTTGAAAGATCTGAATCTCAACTCCCACAGAAAATGTTCTCATCCTCTTATTCAATAAATCTTTTCAAGTTTTCGTTCTGTAAATTTTCTGTTTATTTTTAATCGTGAAAAGTTTCCTACTGAAACAAGGATTACAATAGAATTTAGCCTTCCCTTGACGAACTACCTTCTCCTTACCGAGGTCGGAAAATATAACCAACAGAAACCCAGTTTCCTTCTTGAACAAGGAATCTCGCTGCGCCCAACAAAGGATATAAGAAGTTAGAAAGCCGTGGTGACTTCGTATCAAAACTGCTCTCATCTCTGCAATCTATTCTACCTCCTAATACCACAAATTAGGATTGCTCTGTGACCCGAACCATCGCTGGTTTACTTCCATGGTAAGCAAAACATGAGGTCACTAACCTTTTACAGCTTGTCGGAACGCCGCTACCATGTCGAAGACATCACCGAGATAAGAGCCATAAGTGATAGTTCTCTTGCACCCTGACGGAAATGATTGCTTGCAGCTAAACCCTGCAACAATGGAGAAGATCCAGTTGCCCAACTTGCCCTAGAAAGACTTGCTGTTTGGCTACTGCACTCTCTCTTCACCTCCACGTGATCCTAGCTGTGTAGTTTTGTTCATCCTTGACACCAAAGAGATGAGACTTCTATACTGCAGCCCCGGTGATGAGGGTTGGACGAGACAAGAAGTACCACAATGTATTTTTCGCGATCGGTATCCCCATCATGAAAATTCCGGCCTCTACTTTCGTGGGCACACCACTCTCAATGGCGAGATCTATGCTCTCTTACATATTGCTGTCAGAGGCTAGTGCAGTTTCGGTTCAATCGAGACATTAATGGCTACCAAGTGACATTACTTGATTCGAACATCAGACAACCAGACCCTGGTCTAGATCATTACTACATTAGGTTATGCGCATATGAAGCCCCACACTTGGTTCCTTGCTCAGATAGCGAGTTTATGATTGTCGAGGTATACTCTGGGGATCACTTGCCCGGAAAGGGACCAGCTCGAATAAAGGACATTGGTTGCAAGGAGATGGAGTTATAAAAGATGGAAGCTTTGCCCAAAGATTGCGCAATCTTCTTAGCCGATTGGGGGCATGGATTCATGTATAAGATTCCCAGAGAAGTTCTGGACTCGGGACTTGTTTGCGGGAATACTATTTACTATTCTGAAATGGGTTATGAGTGTCTTTATGCCTATGCTATGATGTTCATGAGAGAAGTATAAGTGTGTCATTGCCTTGCCCCAACGTCGAATCAGATTACTATGATCCACAATGGGTGCAGCTACCACTTGGCACTAATTGGTTTTCAGCAACTGATCCCCACTTACCAGATCAAGCACAGAGTGCTGACAGCAAGCAGATTATGCTATCATCATCAGGAACTGGCGGAGTTGGTGAAGATGGTTGTTGGTACGACATCCCAATTGTTCTTCTCTGCGACATACAGTCTCGTCTATTTGTAGTCGATCGTTGTAACTTCGGTCATGCCTGTAAAACATGGCGATCGTCGCTCTCCAGCCCAACTACCTTTTATAATGAGCATCGATTGGAGAAGGTGCTGGAAATTCATCGACTTCCAATCCTTGTACACATAGGAAACAACAGTAGCGAGCAAGTCAATTTCTTGGACCCAATAACCAACTCTGCCAACACCCTGCCTTTACCACCAGGTTCAATCGGCACAGGAGCCATGGTTCGCTGCCCCAACCGAACCACGGGTGGTTGCTTGTATCCCAAGGCAGTTTTGGTGGGGAAATCTTCTTCTTCAACCCTTTCACCAAGGAAAGGATCGGGTTGCCTGACCTAGGTACATATGAGTTGGAGGGGATCGCTTTCTCCTCTGCTCCAACGTCCTCCGACTGCATGGTTTTTGATGATGCTCTTCTCTATTTACCGAGGAGAGAACGAATGGACTTGCTATCTATCTGGTAAGAAAGAACGGTACCCATTTCCATCAATCTCTCACGCTACTTTCACAGTAGCCACTGCCGGTGTCCTCCAACATCATCCCGGTGTCGAAAGAAGAGCCGATGTCGACTTCGGATCTGTATCGTTGCCGCCTCTGCTCCGTCCTTCCCGCCATCGAGAACGAGACCTCTAGATCTGCCGCTGGGTTCGCCGTGTATCGTCTTTCTTCGAGGCCCTAGGGGCGGCATCGCCTTTTGAAGGTCATCAAGTCTCTACCGATTTCAGTCACTGGTCACCGAAGGTTAGGTCAGCAGCGATGGCCGTCGTCTTCAATCTCATCGTAATCGTTGTCCCGGCGAGTCTCTATCCCCACCCCAGTCCAGCATCGTCGGCAGTTTGATTCGTTTTTGTCTACATCTCTCTCTGCAGCTGGTTTTTCTGTCTTGCGGATCGTCATCAAGTCAGATGAAGAAGCAAAGGTGTCTCTTCTGCCGCTGTCGAGAGTTTATCCTAAATTTTCGTCCGCTTGATGCTCTAGCTGGTCGATTGCTCAGCCCAGTTCCGTTCCGTATCTATTATTAAACGGAGTCAACCGTTGCGGGCTTGGAGACAGGTTCGTCAAAGTGCATGTTTTGGCCTATGGTGAATTCCTTCATGCTCGTTTGGGATTATTATTATTATCTTTATTTAACGAATTAAATATGTATATCTAAATCATTTAGCGATAAGGATCATTAGTTGGATAAATTTGTCACAACCACTGTATGAATGGTTTGTGGACTATACCATTAGACTAGAAACTTATAGAGATTGTATTTTTTGTTTCAAAATAAATAATTGTATTCTACTTTTAATTAAGAAACATAACATGTAGAGGCGGAGCCACGTTATTGGTTATTGGTAGTAGTTATATGTATAGGTAAAATTACATATAATTTTTATAATTTTTTTTTAGAAATAGAGTAATTAGTAAGAAATTAATCTCTCTCCAATTACCACGGTTCAAATATCTTGAATTTATATTCTCTCATTTGAATTTTTAGGATAATTTATACTTAATTTTTTGAATACATGATGAAAATATTTAAAGTTTTAAAGCAATACTATCATATTTACTTTTGAGATTTCCAACCAAAATCTGCATTTTTATTGTTTTTCTACCGGCCCAAAAGTACAAAACATGAAAACAAAATATTACATGACCTTTATGTAAAGTATTGAACAATATTTTAAATTACAAAAAATTGAAAAATGCTTTTGCTTGTTTCCACAGCCCCGGTAACGTGAAAAGTCAAAGACCGGCTATAGCCGGTAGCATATAGACTGCATCGCTATAGTGACTGCACTACAGAATTACCCCTGAAGTTTGTTGCTTTGCATTGAGCCAAGTTTGAGTATTTGATTACTTTGACTTTATAGTCAAAACATCCATAAGCAGAGGTTGGCAACATGAAGTTTGTTGGATCATATTGCTCCCAGGAATGATGTGATGTAGGTTGGAGTAATTAAAGGTTTGGCGACAGTTTGGTGTGAGTTCCGCCGAGTCAAATAGGTTACCTTGCTTGTGTCATTCAGCAGGATTTTCTTTGTGTAGCGTATGTGCCTTTCATCCCTGAGGATTGTCCAGTCCTTCTCGGTCATCTTCATCAAGGTCCCGCTGAAAGGAGAATCTTCACCAACATCAAAGTCATGGCGTTGAAGACAATCATGATCGGCAGTGATCATCTCTTCAAATAGCTAGTGTTGGGGAGAAAGAACAGCTTCTGCCAACAAAACTTTCAAGTCATCAGGTCGAGGCATTCACGATCCATTAAATGGTCGTTCCCTGGCGTTCAAAAGGTAGTACGATCAGAGAAGTCATCGTCCCTTCATCGTACAGCTGGCATTCACGATCCAAGAAATAGTCGTCCCCTCTTCCGGTTCATTATTGGGCACATATCAACCATTCATCGCTTTTCAAGCCGGGCATTCACGATGTTCATGCTCCAGCTTGAGGGGGAGAATAGGGCATCATCATACGTGGTCAATCAGTTCAGCATATCGACCACGGTGTATCAGTCAAGGAGGTTTCCCCAATCTCGTTCAAGAGAGACGATAGTCAGAAGTCTCAATCGGTCTCATTCAAGAGAGGGAAAATCAACAGGCTCTCGGTTAATCTCATCTAGGTAGAGGCGCAGTCAACCGTCTCCACCATATCATGCGGATAGACGTAGTCAATCGTCTCTGTCAAGTCATTCAAGAGACGCAATCAACCGTCTCCGTCAGGTCTCTCAAGAGACGCAATCAACCGTCTCCGTCACGACGTTCAAGAAGATGCAATTAACCGTTTTCATCAAGTTGTTCAAGGGAGAGAGTCAGTCGTCTCCAAATCAACCTCGTCCGAGATGTTATTAATCTCGAGTTTTGTTGTTCAAGCTTGTCATGCTTGTTCGTCACATTTCCTTTTTCAAGCTCGACATTCTTGTCACTCATTTCTTCGCTTGAGGGGGAGTATTGAGGATATTAATTATTTAGTAAAAAATAATTAATTCCTTTTCCTCCAAGTCCCTTGTTTTCTTGTCCTTGTCAAACAAGGAAACTTGGTTGTCATTAGGGTTTTAACCCTATGTCCATCTCTATATAAAGCTTAGCTACGGTCCTGTCGTAAGCAAGCCGTCACAATGTAGTCTCATAATAAATTTGTCAGCCGTGAGCTCGTTCCGAGCTCACCGTGGATTAGTCTCAATCAATCAATCGATCGAGGATACCACGTAAAATCATGTGTCTTGTGTTATTTCATCTTCCGCAATATCAAAATTTTCACAATAAGACATGAAGAACAAAGTCGGGCTTGTTGCTCGGCGTCGACCTTGCTCGTTCACAGAGAGAACAGAGTAGCCGAGAGCTTTGAGAACTCGACACTCAGTTCCAGAAAGGATTGGATCAAACACTTGTAAATCTCCAATCCAACTGAACTCTCGCTTTATCAAGAGGGCAATGCTGAGTTGCAGTCGAGGGGTGTCGTGCGATTCGATGCTGCCGATGCCATATACCACCATCTGCATCTTTTTCTGCTCTGCGCCCTCAAGAACCTTGCGGAAACAGTCCATGACTTGTTGGGTTTGCATATGTTCCAAAAAATTTTGACAGAATAATGAGCTCTCAACTCTCTTCATACAACCAACCATCTTGTTTTGCAGCTTTGATTGCATGTCTTCACTGGACTCGGTATAAGTTGGACTCCATGATACTATCCCTTCCTTTACTCCCAGTGATCCAATTTTAGCCAACTTTTTACACCTTCTTTTTCCACGAGGCAAGACTATGGTCCATCCATGCTCTCAGCACATTTGTCAGGCATAAGAACCTTAGCAGATGCAACCATTATATAACTCTGATGGCAAACAGACTCTTCAGAAGTTTTTGCAGAAGATGAAACCCTTCAACTTCTAAACCAGTTGAATATTGTCCCAAAAGCTGGAAAAAAGAAAACAATTTGTCAATAGTGGAATGAATTGAAAGACAGTGTCAACAAGGCGCACGGATAGGAACTACACAGATATATCTTCATAGCTACAAAAATGAATCTGAAAATTAGTGCAATGCAGCATCAGAGTAAGGAGACAGGATTGGTGTTGAGGTCTTTGAGATGGGTATTCTTCAGTGGCTAATTCATAGCGAAAAGAGGTCTCCCTAGATTGGGAACTATATGTCCTGCCCTGATGTTTTGAGAAATAAGATTCAGGCATCGACAAGAGGTCTGTTGAGCAGTGATCGAAAGAGGGCATTGTTCTATAATTTGATCGCTCACCATCAATTGTTTGCTTGGGTCATTATGTAGAATGTTAAAGTATGCTACTTGTCCTGGACTAATTACCAAAGGAATCATCTTCTCTTAGTTGAGCTTATCAAGAATCATTGTTTCAATATGAATGCCCTAACGTTAACGAGGCAAGAACACTAAATAAACTACACTAGGGTAGAAAGTGCTTCAATTCAGAATTTGAAAGAGATGTGCTGCAAAGTGTGGAAAGTGGAAAACTGACCTGTCGGAGCCCAAGAAAGGTTGTAATCGGCAGACATTGGAGGAACGTTGTGATGAGATCGGGCAGCGTGTCAGAAGCAACGACGACGGAAGAAATGGAGGAGGGGATTCTGATAGCAACCTACAGTTTTTATTTACTATTATTATTAGGAGGATTTTTATTATTAAGTGTTTGAGTCATATTAGGATAGTCTATTAGGTTTTTCTAGTCTTTCGTAATAAGTATGGACATTGTGATTTATTCAGGATCAGTCAAGAAGAATATTAAGAAAACTCTCCTAAACCCTAATCTCCCAACCCTCTCAATTCTAGATCTCAATCCCTCTAAAGGCCTAGGCCGATTCTCTATCTTTCTCTTCTCAAATCCCTAATTCTGTTCTTAATCCCTAAATCCCAATCTCACGACTAGACCCGATAGAACCCTAATCCCAGGTTCCATCATTTGGTATCAGAGCCAACATGAGCTCGTCACAGCTCTCTGACCCAGAATGGGTTCGACTAACGCGACAGCTCCATCAATCCCTTGCCGAGCTTGATCGGGAGGCGCGAGAGCGCGGCTGGCCAATTCTAGCCGATGCCGCGGCTTTTGCTGCGTTCACAACTGCGGCCAACGATGCTGCTACAACGAGGCGATGTGGACCGGTGGCAAGGACAGCGCCGCCAATGGAGGACGAGCTGCCGCGGGCGCTGCTAGGCGAGGAGGAGAGCTACAGCGGCATTGAGGGCGAACAGGCGACCAGGTTACCTCGCCGGAGTCGCGAACAGCGTCGGAGTCGCCACTTGGCTCTTCTCCCTTCGCGACAGGCGACCAGGTTACCTCGCCGAAGTCGCGAACATCGTCGGAGTCGCCACTAGCATTGGCGGCTCCAAAGGAGATTACGAAGGACCGTCCCGACTCACCGAAATTCTGAGCCGCAGGAGAGGCGCCACCAGCGTCGGCAGCCCCAATTGGAGAGGTGACGACAAACCAGAAGTCGGCACAGCAGGCGAGTGTCCATTTACCGGGTTCGCACTCCAATCGTCAGCTAGGCAACTAGCCGCCGAGGAAGGAGGAGACGGCAGAATCCGGCGGGGCAAGGTGTCGGCGGAGGGTGAGCCTCGGGACGGATTGCTGGTCGGTGGGGAGGGTGACGACGATGGCGGGCAGCGCGACGAGGAAGGAGAAGAAGGAGGGCGGCGGTAGGGGTTTTTCCTCATGCGGCAAACCAACCCTCTTTTCCCTTCCAGAAGTGAAACCCTACAATTCTTGTGGGCCAAAGCCTAGTCACAATTGGGTTTCACGTGGGTCAGATTGTGTTTTGTGTGGGCCAAGTCAAGTGGGCCTTCTGATGACAAAATACAATCTCATCCATGAGCTGAAGTTGGGAGTTAACTGGGCTTCACAAAGGCCAAGTCTCGGCCCATATATGGGCAGTTTAATAGTGGCTCTATTTATAGTATTGGGCTGATTCAGGAAGGGTTTTACCCCAACGTGGGAAGCACTTTGAAGATGGTGGGCTTGGAAGAAGAGGTTGAAGGCTTAGCTGGTGGGCTTTTAAGAGAGCAGGACCCAATAATAATTGGAGAAGCAACTAATCAGAGTTATGTGCTTGTTCCAAGAAGAATGTATGAAGGCCTTGACGAAATGGTACTCAAGGATGTGTTCTTGAACGTGAACGACTCATTGTGTTCCTTGAGTTGCTGTAGGGTGGTGACAACGAAAGAGACATTATTAAAGTTTGAATTCTTTGAGGACGCAAAGAGGAGGCCGACATCAATGAAATCCACAATTTTGGAAGAGCACCAGGAGATAGAAGAAAGAAGGTCAAGAGAAGAGTTTGAGCATGATTGGAAGAAAAGGAACCAAGAGATGGAGGAGACACGACGCGGTTTGTACGGATGATGTGGGGAAGTGGGTCGAGTCGGTCAACCTTGAGGGCAAGGTTGGTCTCAAGGGGGAGGAGATGATAGAAACCTACAGCTTCTATAATTACTATTATTATTAGGAGGATTTTTATTATTAAGTGTTTGAGTCATATTAGGATAGTCTATTAGGTTTTTCTAGTCTTTCGCTATAAGAATGTACATTGTGATTTATTCAGAATCAGTCAAGAAGAATATTAAGAAAACTCTCCTAAACCCTAATCTCCCAACCCTCTCAATTCTAGATCTCAATCCCTCTAAAGGCCTAGGCCGATTCTCTATCTTTCTCTTCTCAAATCCCTAATTCTTTTTTTAATCCCGAAATCCCAATCTCACGACCAGACCCGATAGAACCCTAATCCCAGGTTCTATCAGATTCTCTCGCTGCTTTATTTTAGGGCAACGATTGCATAGTTGGTCGAGTAAAAAGTGTAGAAAATTAGGAAAAAATCCCAATATACACCAGTAATTAAAAAAAATTCTCAATCTACACATGTTTCACATTCACCGCCTTTGTCTAAGGAAGTGAATGCAGTCACCGTGTTAGACAAACAAGGCGAATAAGTCACCGCGTTTAAAAAAAACGATGAAGAAATCACTGTGTTTATCTAAAGCAGTGAAAGGTTCACCGCGTTTTTCTTACACGGTCAAGCAATCACCGTGTTTGTGAACAACGGTGAATTGATCACCATTTTCGTGCAAAGCGGGGAACACCTTCACCGCTCTAGGTGACGGCGGTGATAGTTTTCCCACGTTTCCCACTCCTGACAGGTGAAAGTTAGGTCACAACCACCTAACGTTCACCGCCTTAGGGCAACGCGGTGAATGCTGACCAATTTTCATATAAATACCCCTCCCACGAGCAGTTGGAAAAACGTAACCCCCCTCCCTTTTCAAATTTCAACAAAAAAATCGAGCAACATACACATAAGCTATTTTTCTGTATGATTTAATTTTGTATTGTTATATAATGATGTTTTTAGTAGTCATATGTATGTAATGAATTAATTATTGTAGCAAATATGTTATGTTAGTTGGGAATTTATGCTGTTGTTAGTTATGAGATGGAGTAATATCAGTCGTACAATATGGTTTTTGTTAATTTTATTGGAATTAGGCTAATAGTTACTTATTCTAAATTGTAGATATGGGTAAATTCAAGAAGTTTCAGCTTATTATTCGGTGGAATGGAAGGGTGACAAACTCTGACATTGTGATTGATTATGAGGACGATGAATCCACTATGTTGAAAATTGAGTCGCGATTCACGTGGCAAGAACTCTGTGACATTTGTGCAGACAGGGTTTATACGAGCGGTCAGACGAGAGTTGGTAAAATTACTTACCGGTATCCAGACATGAGTGCTGGCGGAGTTGTGTACCAAGAGGTTGTCATAAACGATGATGACGCGGTTACGATGATGTTACATTTCCTAGGCGATAATGCGATGCGGCTTGCAGAGGTCTATGTTGAGACCGAGGCGGTTGGTGAAACTCATTCTCACCAGTATTCTTATGATGATGGTTTGCAGGAGGGTAAGGATGGGGTGGTAGTTCAAGCAATTACGAAGGAGGTGGTTATACAGGAGGTTACGGATTGGGTGGTAGTTCAAGCAACTACGGAGGAGGTAGTGGTGTAGGATAGGTGCCATCGGAAGAATACCCGCAACGAGATGAACCCGCCCCATTTGTTGAGACTTGAGGCTGGTGAGGTTCAATGGCCTGCTTGGGGGCCAGAGTGGGCTGAAATCGAGAATACCATTAGCTCTGGGCGTACTTCACATGAGCGAGAAGACGATGTTGTTGATGGTGGTCGTGTTGATCCTTCTGGCCCGAGCTATCCATTCGACTCTAGCGATGATGATACCGAGGAAGATTTGAGATCTGTGAGCGAAGAGGAAGATACTGGCGATACCGACGACGAGGTGGCATTTCGTGAGCCACCGACGCCATACTACACACAGGTTCCAACTCAATTTTTACATAGTCAGAATGATGCCATAGACGTTGTCCCTATGCCAATGTATAATCCGACGGCCAATTTGGAGGTGGGTATGGCGTTCACATCGAAGGCCGCTGTGCAGGATGCTTTTACCGAAGATGACATGCGGCACAATTTCGAGTGGAGCGTAAAATATTCTGACAGTAAACAACTACATGTCATATGCAAGAATGCTGCAGAGGGTTTTATGTGGCAACTGCGGGCTACAAATATGAAGAGAAAGGGTGCCTGGGTGATTCGAAAAGCTGAGAACAACCACAGCTGCTCCTCGTCCATACTTTCTCAGAATCACCGACAACTTAAAGCAAAGAAAGTGGGGAGAACTATTAAGCACCTTATCAAGGCACAACCAGATATCAAGGTCAAAGCTATCATGACCGAGGTGAA